TGCACAAGACGGTCCTCCCACAACCAGCTTTGTCCACAACAGGAGCACACCAGGTAGCTTCTCCTCATGCTGGTGATCCTGGAAGTGTAGGTTGAAGGTGCCCGTCTCTGCCTCAAGAGCGTTGTTCTTGGACTCGCAAAGTGCCAAGCGATTGGCTGCGCTGCTGCTCTTGGGCCGAGATCTTGAGCCTTGAGCCTCCTGTGTTTATATCTATATATTTTACAAATATATATATATATATGTAGCTACATGTTCTTCCAGAGTTCGTTGGGATTTTATCGTCGTCCTCGTTGTCGTCCTCAAAGATCCCAGAAGTCGACACCAGGACAGCTGCCCGCCTTGGCGAAGGACAGCGTCCTCCCTCGTGGACCCGACAGGCCTTTCTTGGACCCAAAAAGCACGAGGACATGAAACAAATTTTTCATGTCCAGTTTGCACTTGCCTAGGTTAAAACATTTTTTCATGTCCAATTTTTTCAGGTCATGCACCGTTTCATGGGCTCGTTGGCATGAACAGTGCACAAGGCTCTGGACCTTCTGGCACCATGGTTTCGTTCCCAAATGGGACTAAGAAACGGCCAGTCATATAGAGTCTCCAAAAAGACTGAAACGCTTCTGATTATAATTTTTGTTAGTCTGACTTACTAAGTTTCTGATATGTTGCCTGGGTGTCACTACAACTGTAACCAATGGACCAAGAAACACGTTGACCATTTAGGTCTTTCTTACCTCAAGGCCGGGCATTCATTGTCCCAATTGGAGCTTTAAAATAGTTATTACGGAGATACATGCACAAAGCCAGGCCATGCAAAGCCAGAAAAGTATCTTGCGCATCCGACCAGCACGCCCGAACCAAGCAGTTATACCCAAAGACATAGAGCCAACTCTTTCACAGACAGATTTGGTCTACTGATTAGTTGGTGTCATCAAGGCGAGCAAAGTTAACATCGCGGCGCAGTGTGGAGAGTGTGAAACGATCTTGGTCAGGTGACCTCTGTAGCAGCTGGGCTCATGGCAGGCTTCCAACCGAGAGCAGAAGGGGTGTTTAACGTTTTCGACAGTAGGGAAGATGGTTGACTCCACCATGGCTGATGTGCTTTTTGGGGGGAACACCTGCTTCTTGAAAGCGTGGGAATCGAACACCCTGGGATGGGATAGGGGCAGGGATGGGCCAACATGGAGGGATGGTATTTTTTCAAGTGATGGATAGATGTTTCTGAGTACTGATGCATCGGGAGGGTGCCATGTAAACAGGTCGGGCACCAACATGAGTTACACCAACATGGACGCGTGAGTTCAAAACAACTCTAGAATCATCAGCATGTCAGTCCATGTGCCCATTTGCAGATGGTTGGCATTTTCATAGGCCCAGCTCTGTATGACTCAAAGACCAGATCTGTTTGTTTGCCCCGGTGGTGTTGAATTCATCCCCTACAGGTCTACAACAAGATAGGGTGCCCTGGCCCAAACAAGAACCATCAACCAATTTTTACACAGGGCACGGGGCACATGTGTTTGACGTTTTGTGTTCACGTTTTGTGTTTGACGTTTGTGTTTACCAGAAGCAGCTTCAGTACCCAACGGTTAGGTTGGACAACGGGTGGAAGGGCGATGCATTCGGAGCACCCGGCAGGCCTTGCGAGCACCCGGCAGGCGCCTAGCTGGATGTGCCGACTCAAGTGGGTCAACCAGGTGAGCATGGTTAAAAACTATCCTTTACTGTAAGTAAGGCCCGCTCATAAGAGCAGTGTGCGTAAGCAAAACTGTGAGTTGCATAAGGTCGCGGCTTGTGGTGACACTTCAGCACTTCAGAGTGCGTAAGCAGTGCGTAAGCTTATTTATGTTACACCTGTTGTCTTTGGAGATAAACATGCCTACACAACTTCAACTATATAACATCAACTAGCCACAACGGTACAGAACTCATACCTGTGTTTTATGTCCCATGTTCTAGGGCATTTTGATCTATATATATATTATATGCTGCTTCATAAGTTTGTACTAGAGAATGCATATTGACATATTGACAGCGATACATTGACGGCAACATTGCGATTCCTCCCCGAGATCGGGCCCAGCGGATGCGCTTCCTGTGGGTTCGCAGCGCGCGCGCGCGCGGACCCTGACTCCTATAGGCGGTGGCGCGGCGTGCGCCGGGGAGCTCAGTGGAAGGCACAGATGGTGATGTAGACGGTGACCTACCATGTGGGTACATATCGTATCCGTTTTAGATCTATTGAACATCAATGTGGGGAACCCCCCCACCTGGTTATGTACCACCATGATCTACCAAAGAGTGAGACTCCTGAGCGAGCGACATCACCTCCGTCCCTAGTCTTTCCTCATTGTGTTGATTTGGGGGTGACTCTGCACTAGGAACAAGATGCTACTAGGGGCTCCTGGCCTCACTACTAGGAGCAAGGACGCTACTAGGGGCTCCTGGCCGTACTACTAGGAGCATTGTTTGCTACTAGGAGCATGTGGTGTACGACATGTCGAGGTTTGGACATGTTTCTTCGATGTCTCGAAGAAAACGAGTCGGTGGCGTCGGTGCGCGTCCGCGTAGATTGTGGAAGAACTGTGTTAAGCATGTTAGACAAATCAATATCCTACATCCACCTGTCATCATCCTGCATGCACCTGGAGCCCCTTCCATCCCTGCAACCCCTTGCTGAAGAAGAATGCATACATATACATAACATTTTTTGGCGCCGAGGAAAGGCACGCAGGTCCTCCCTTTGGGCCGCTGGCTGCAGCGCTTCTTTTCGCTGAGAAACAGGCATGGCAGCTTTTCTTCGCTACGTGCTTTGTGGTGTTCGGACGTGCTCGGTGGGTTAGTAAGGATGATATGCGATAACAATGCATGTTTATATGTTAGATAGATTATATAGTCAGCATGTGGCCTTCAATTATTTTTTTTAAGCTTTTTAAGGGGGTGGTAAGGCCATGAGTTCAAAAGTCTTGCAGAATTTTTGGACTGATTGCGCACAGTGGGGCCCAATAATATCAAATCGCAAGGCTAAAACATCCATGAAAGTTATTGAAACCCGTTCCGCTCCAATGCTATGCAGGCATTTTTGCCAGCAAATCCGCCAGGCAGTTTTGGAACTATTCCGTTTCTCCCAGGACCACCTGCGCCACGTGTCCCGACGTGCGCTTGCGCGCGAAGCGCGGCGGTGTGGGTAGGGCTGTGGAGGGTTTGGGGGTTCAGATGTTCTTCAACTGAAGGTACATGTTCAAAGGGGAATCCCCAAACGCGGCAAGCAGTTTAATCATAATTATACATGTATTTTTTGGGAACAGGGGCGGGGCGGCACCAGGTTTTGGCGTTCCAAAGACGGGGTCCAGACGCTGACTATTTTGCCCTTTTTGTGCCCCACAAGTCTTGTTTTTGTCTAAGAATGTTGAGTATGTTTTTGTCAACGTCGGCAGGAACTACTTTGTGCGGAGGCGTGGCTGGTGAGAGCCTGGAAGTGGCCAAAACACGGGGTATACCACTCAATGGTCAGTGATTATGGTATATTGTTGAAAATAGCCATGGATTGTAAGATGTGTTATTGTGTCCACTGAATATGAGGGGCTCCTAAAGTGACATTGGCTTTGACATGCTTGGACTTCTTAAGGTTCCATGCACAATTGGATTGGTTTTTGGTGCCCCATCTAAACTAGCTGAGGAGCAAGCAGCCAGGCCTTGAATTGGACCGATTCTGAGGTGTTTTGATTGGAAACGACAGATGGTTTCCAGGAAGGATCTCCTGCTGGACATCCAGTCGTTGAATAATGTTGAATCGTCGTTTCGTTCCCAGTTGTTTTGTGACATTCCATGCATTTGGAGCAATAACCCAGTCCAACCAAACGACGTTCGGACATCGTCTTCGTTCCGCTCATCACTTGTTCTCAGATGGCGTGCCGAAGACTTGATCCAAGCAGCTTTCGTCTGCGTGGTCTGGGAAGCCGAGGGGACGGTCGTTGGCCGGTCGTCACGCTCGCCCTGGGCATAGCATGTCATAGGCTAATGAGCACGAGTGGAGGTTTGGTCTCGCTGGTTGCCTTCACCATTCAAGCGTGGGGTCCAACGATGCACCAAAAAAAGAGACTTATATATGAGCCAGCAGGCTAGCCATGGCTTGATGGCGAAGGACTGGCACCGACTGGTCATGTGCAGGTTGGAGTCGAGAATTCATTGAAATAACCATTGGATACCATTGGCAATTCCAGCAGGTTTTGCCAATATTATACTGTACACGGTAAGGCACCGAGTTTTTTTCTGTGGTCGGTTGTGATGGTCGTTGTGCCGAAGCAGGTGCACTTGGGCGCCTTTGCAGCACCTTTCTTCTTCACCTGGAAGGTGGGATCTGGATGAATCCACTAGTAACAAAGGGCATCGCTACTAGGAGCGCGGACGCTACTAGTAACAAGGGGTCGAACACATGATTTTAGTGTGGGTCGTGATAAGTATTACAGTGGCTTCAGATGGTTTAAGAGTAGATGGCACTGGCACCCAGAGATAACTATGCAGTAGAATTTGGACCCCCCCTTCTCTTTGAGAACTTCCGGCTGATTCTTTTCTATAGTACTTACATAGGAAGGTGCACTTGATTTCATTCTCGCTTGGTCTTCGAACTGGCGGATCGGGTTGTCCAGGTTTTCAGTAAGGCAACAACCACAATGCAGAAACAAGTGGCACGGTTTTAATGTTAACAAAAAGTAAAACTCAATGTATCAGTGACTTCGACGGCATGGGTGACGCAATTCCGGGACTGATCGTGGGACTCCAGCTGTGATTGGCGGGCCTGTGCCTGGGTCTTGGGCCAGGAAGCGGCGTGTGATTGGCACTGGTAATTGCAGGAGGCTCACTTATATAGACATATATATAGATAGATCACCGTCTAATGCAAAGACCGGATTAATAAACCCCCCCCCCCCCACATGGTAGGTCAACAAGGTCAAGAAGGTATGAGATACCACTCATGAGGTCCACTCCCCCTGAATTATCGGATCAGGGAGCCATCGTAGTCGCAGTCGTCATCGGTAGTAGGTAGTAGGTAGTAGGTAGTAGTCGGTAGTAGGTAGTAGGTAGTAGTCGGTAGTAGGTAGTAGGTAGTAGGTAGTAGGTAGTAAGTAGGTAGTAGGTAGTAGTAGGTAGTAGGTAGTAGTAGGTAGTAGTAGGTAGTAGTAGGTAGTAGGTAGTAGGTAGTAGTAGTCACAACAAGTTTAAACAAGCACAAAGAAAAGGCCAGGGACACAGGATCAGATTAATAGGGGGTAGTAGTGCAGATTATTGATGGGGGACCGGCCCTTGTGAGGGGTACCCTTTGTGAGCTTGTCAAATGATTGTTTTTAATTGTTTTTTAATAAGGCAATTTATAGGCCCTGAGCCCTAGACATTTTTAAGGATTTCATCAAACATGTAGTAGGTAGTAGGTGGTGATGGTGGTGGTGGTGGTCGTGGTAGTAGCACGTAGCAATAGCAGTAGCAGTAGCAGCAGCAGCAGCAGCAGCAGCAATAGCTACAGCAATAGCTAGTAGCAGTAGCAGTAGCAGCAGTAGCAGCAGCAGCAGGAGTAGTAGTAGCAGTAGTAGTAGCAGCAGCAGTAGTAGTAGCAGTAGTAGTAGTAGCAGCAGTAGCAAGTATAATGTCAAGTCAGGATAAATAAACCTCCACTAGTTAACCCCTTATTAAAAGTAATATTATTTTTTGTTGGATTGTGTAGGCTCGGATTAACTGGGGGGGGTTGTTGGTAGAAAATTAGACAATAGGGGGGGGAAATCAACAGCGAATAATACTTTTAATTTGGGCAATTTCCGGGGGCTTTGTGGGCTCGGATTAACTAGGGGAGGTTTATTAATCCTGACTTTGCATTATATTAAACAAATACACATATATTACTATATATATATATATTTTTTTTTATATGGACAGTATATATAGAGATAGGCGCTTTGAGCTATGTCCTCTGAATGCCTGCAACTGCGCGGTAAGCCAAAAACCAAGATATCTTCGGAATGGTTCAGAAGTTCATGGTATTCCAAGGGTATTCCTACTGCTTGCGAACTTTTGCTGGAGGTTCTTTGACACCCCCCTGGGCCAGAAAACATCACGACTAAAACAACTGGTTGTTTCTCTCTGGTAGCTGTTGATTCTTGATGATAACAGCTGGCCCTTTTAAGACAACAGTCTTCCAGGGTTCCCCCAGCCGGCCAAGCCGTGCGTCTTAGAGCGAGGCCTTCGCTTGCTTTTGCGCACCTTGGTTGACAGACCGGGCAGCACCAGGTCGTCTTGGCGCGCTGGGTCAAAGATGTCAAGTCACAGTCAATCTCTTGTTTTGTAAACTCGATATCATGTTATGTACACCCAGTCATTGACTAGGTAACAAGATGACTCTCTAAAAGACTGCATGGGACACCATCAAGCCCATCTTACTGTCATTTCAATTGAATAATTAGCTAATCATGACAGAGAAGCCATAGCCAGAGATTCAGAACGCCACTGGGATGCCCGCGTTAGCCATGGATGATGTAATCCCATCGGCCATGTCTCACAACCAGGTGCATGTCCTACTGCGTTGAGCTTCTTTGGTGGCGCGTTCCCTCCAAACACAGACAGCACAACACCGCGTGGAGGAAGAAAATCCCTGTAACTTGGGACCGATGTCCCGGATGTCCCCGCATGCCATGTCGATGATGATCAAGGATCTTCCACAGAGACTCCGCACTTCGTCATACTTCATCCCGACCGGGCGATTGACCCGTTTATACCGGCGACCGGCAGGGAGCCCGGTGGTACCGTCAAGCGGGACTCGGGGCTCGCCCGCTTGTTCACAGCGCCGGTGGATCCACGAAGAGATCGGTCCATTCCTCAGTCGCTCCAGCCGAGTCCGAGCCCTCCCGAGGTGGGCTACGTGATCACAGGCGACCGGCGGCATGGAGGGACTTGTTGGGGTCTTGTTTGGGGGTGCTCCGAAAAATAACAGGAGTCCAGGAGACGGAATGCAATGATTTTGTCTTTGTTGTTTTTCTTTCTTAAATGGTTGTGGTATGTCATGTGGTTTTATTTGTAGTCCATATCCCATATCATGTGGTGCTACTATATCATGTATAGTCCATATCCCATCAGCTGCCTTCTTGCATGTCCACAAGTATGCACAAATGCACTATAGAGGCCAAAAAGAGCCATCTACGGCTGCTGATCATTGGTTCTTGAAGTGTGCCACTTAGAAAAAGCTCTAAAAGAAGAGATGGTGAGAGCACATGAAAGCTACTGGAAGCACATGGAAGGCTGCATTGGCTCAGTCGACTGCACACATCCATCGCCAGGCATGCTGGGCATCACCTTGTCCTATCATCGGCAGCTCTCCCACCGTGCCTTCGTCGCTGCCCTCAGTGGATCCGGTGGAGATGTCTTGGGAGCTCCAGTGGAAGGTCCTTTCACGGTGAAGTGGTTGGGGTTGCAACAGTTGCCAAATCTTTCCTGGATCTTGTGACAGCACGCTTCCAGCTGTTTTGGTCGATTGTTATCAGTCTTCAGTGTCAGCGGCCGCAAACTCGACTCGACACAAAGGGTCAAACACCCGCACAATGGCGTAAAACATACACTGACAAACTCGCAAATGCCGGCACATATTTACAAGAACACAACAAGCAAAGCGACCAAAACCATAGCACACACACACACACCAGAAATTAATTGTTGGTAGTGGGAAGGTCAAAAGGCAAATCCTAAGCAGGTTACCCCTCCCTTTGATTATTGTTGTCCTCGTGCACATAGGGTTCGCCCAGTGCTTCGCCCCAGTACCCGGGATGCAAAGGAATGCCATGGTGTCATTTGGGTGGGCTTTTTGAGGTAGAATCAGAACTTGTTGCCGAAGATTCACATGAAAGCTTAAAGTCTGGATCCTCAGGAGCCAGCTCAACCCCTGAGCAGCAATTGATGTTAATTCAAAATCTGTCAAGGCTCTCTTCTTACAGCAAACGTATATTTCGTGTGTCGGAAGGCCATCCACCCCAATTCGCACAGTCCAGTTCGAAAGCCGACACATCCCCTATCCCCCACTATCGCCTTGAAGCAAAACTTTGGAACTCCCAGTGGGAGTCCCTGTGGGTTTGTGGCTCCGCCGCTCAAACAGCCTCTCCGCGAGCCATTTCATTCCCAATCCCCGAAAGAATCGAATCCGCCAGGCCACTCCTAAGTGGCTGGAGTTGGGAGTCCTGGTGATGGGAGACGGTTTTGACGGAGATTTGTGTTGCTCAGTTTTGAGTTTTGCATGACATGTGGTGTTTTGATCCCCCATGATTGGTCCTCTATAAAATGAGCATCTGTTTCCACTATGAAATTGGATAAGGAGGTTCACTTTATAGAAATGGTCCGTTCCGATAACGGACATAAGAGGAGGCACCATCATTTCATAGAGTAGAGGGGGGGGATTGGTGGAAAGGACCATGACAGAGAGAGGCAATGCACAGGCTTGGCCTCCAACCTCTTTGTCGTGGATGGGCCTGGACATGGCTACCCATTTTATAGAAAGGTTGGTTCTTCATTTTATAGAGAAATATGATGGTCATATAATTTTATAGACGGTATTCTCTATAAGATGGAGTTCTGGCAGGATGTTGCCCCAGTCAAGGGGGATGTGTTTTGTTTGACTATTGCTCGAGTGACTCGAGTGAAGATTCATGGAGGTACTTCTTCGTTCTGGGGGTTGGTTTGGCATGTCAGAAGGCATATGTAACATTATGTAACATATTCACACCATATTTGATTGATTCCAACACTCGTCCGGTCATGTTGTTTTCTGAGAACCTTCAACAGGGTCCTTCAGCGTAGGCATCAAGCGGAAATTGAACGTCCGAAACTGGAGGGGTGTTTTTTAAACCCAGGTTTTGGTTTATTCTAACATATTTTCAATTATTCCCGGGGGTCGAACTGAGAGGTCTCCCTATTTTAATCCACACCCACGGTGCACATGGCCTTGGATCGGCGGCGGCGTCAGGGAGATGGTTTGATTCTGGGCGTCCAAGGTATGTTTTGGCCTACTGTGGTGCCTTAGCCGTCCAGGGTCCGCCAATCAGCATGGAGCTCAGGGAAGGAGCAGAGAATCCGTGGATGCTTTGTAGATGCTTCTGCCATGTGTTGTGTTGAACATGAGCCTCCCCGAGAAAGCTTTTCTAGTAAAGCAATGCTTAAAGCAAAAGGTCGACTAAACTGAAACCATCTACGAAGAAAAAACATATTTTCAATATGTTTCAATTATAATACATGCATGAATGTGGGCTGATTCCAATCAGCCGGTCGAGCAGGTTTGGGCATACCGGGGCCGCGATTGGTGAAGCTTGACCAGTTGATGTTGATGTTTATGTTTCATCAGCTACATGCAGAGCAGACAGCACAACCTGCCCAACAGCTACATTGCACATGGTCTTCACAATAGAAAACGCCCAGGCCCATCCCCTGACGAAGAGAAGATTCACTAACAGCATCCAAAACCGTGGATGCACAACCCCGGTAGATGTGTCTGTACCACCATGGGGTGCAAGATTGAACAAATCACCATGCGTTCCCCAATTTGTGTACTTGGTTCGAGGATGTTTCAGGATATATAGGTATGGAACATATGGAGCTGGAGAGGCAAACACCAGTTCTTAGGAGCCCAACCTCTTCCAAGACCGCTTTGTTTCCCAACGTTTCCGTGTCCTCTCAAGGCTGGGTGTCCTCCCATCGGCATCATCATGGCAACACAGATGCAGAGGACCCGTCCTATCAGGAAAACAGACTGTTCGGGGTCAGGAGAGAAAACCCAAACACTACACTCCCGGAATCATCATGGCTAGCTGGATGGCATGTTTTTTTCCACAGCCGACAGGGTGCGAAACCAACAAGGTGGAGATACTATGAGTCCCACATTGTTGTCCCCTATGGCAAGAAGAATGCAAGTGGCGAGAAGAATGGCGTCCTGTTGTTAAGGATCAAAGCTTGCAATCAAACCATCTCCCTCTTCTCTATGTTTATATATCCACACTCGCCGGAATAATCATAGAAGATATGACCCTTAGACGACCATTGTCCTCTTTTCAAGCAGGTGGCTCAAAGAGGATGACCTGTTCTTGCCTCAGAGAAGCCCCTGGAGTTCCCCCATAGGAAGTACTGTATATTTTGTGACGGAGAGATGGTGCTCAACATGTTTGCAGTTTTGACGCCCAAGTAAAATTTAGTCAGTAGGATCTGGCACCGTTTTGGCACGCCTTGAATTCAATTGACAGTCCACGGCTTCGATCGCTCAAAGATAACTCTCCGCTGACCCCACCCAGAAAAGGCACGACCTAAATGTTTCGCACCAGTTTGCAGCTCTCGATCAGTCTCCCAATTGCACGGATCATCTCAGATCCCTTCAGGATGATGTGCATTCTCCTCGGGATGGCTTTTGGTGGCCTGAGGGCCCAAGTGGGAGGGCAGTTGGGGCCAGACTGATCAGCACCAGAAGCACCGAAGACAATTTCAGAAGATCGGTACGGTTTTGGGACAGAAAGATTCTGTCAAAACCGGTGATGTTCAACTGTGGGTAGGTTGGGTAGTGTTGCCCTGTCCGCCAGCATCATTTTGAGGTCACACATGGGCTGGCTTATGGACAAGGACGGCACCAAGGTCCGAGAGGACAAGAAGAACGCCTCGGACATATCGCTGCCGCCTCGGATTGTAGGCTGCCAACATGGCAGGCTGCCGTCTAAGCTCAAGTCACAGAGTATGTTTGTATGGTGAACCATTCCCATCATTTGGCTCCAGCATCAGCACAAGACTAAACATCATCTCATTAAGTACTTACCTACCACATTAACAGGGGTCCTTTGTGACTTTGCTTTTAATTTGTTGTTCCTTAATTAACCAACCCCTTTCTGTTGGCACTGGTTCGTATACAATTTGTTGAATTTAGTTTTAAACTAATCCAGTTCACATCACAAACGGTCACAAATGGGCTTGAAACATGAAGTTCATCTCTATGCCAGGTGCGAGGTGAGTTGAAATTAAACACCTAACAAGCCTTGGCTGGAAACCTACCGAAAAACACGTCTCAAGAGTTCCATCTTTCGCCCCATCCATTCTAAGTGGGCTGTTGGCACCCAGTTCGGCTTAGGTCGCAAAGCTACTACCGCTTCCTGCAACAGACCTACGGTCTTCACTGCCGGGGTCTTTGGCGGGGACAAGCGGCGAGACCGCCACCCCAAATAAATGCCGCAGGGCTTCCGAGCCCGACCCCATCAAGGCAGCCCGTGCACATGTCATGTGGCTGTTTACGTATGAGACATGCTATACACTCGCTGGTGAGAAGGCGGTGAAAGAATATGAAAATATATGAAATAATTGTTTTGACGATTTCTGGCGGGAGATGCCGATCCGCCGATCCCAAGATCATTTGCCACAAGATGCCAAACTCATTTATTTGTTCCGCCCTAGGTGTGGTGCTGCCCATTTGTTTGCTCTACGCCTTTGGTGGAGTCCCCTGCGTCCTGTGGGGCTTCTTTGCCCGGGTGGCTTGGAAGAGTTATGGTTTTTGTTGTTCTGAAGCACACCGTTGTAAAAGATGACCACCATTGGAGAGAGTTTTATTTACAACACCCTCGCGACGGGGTGTGCCAGCGTTGCTTCTATCATGCGCCATTGCGTGTGAAAGAGTGTTTGAACTTGATGTGCCACCATGATTAGAACCAGGATGCCAAATCACCACCACCAAGGGACACATCGAGAACGTAGTTGGATGGCCTATAAGCCGCTATATCCAACGCTGGACGGCTGACACTGGAGCAACACCATGCAACACCTATTGCCTATTGCTGGCGAAAGTGGGTAAGCCATTTGAGGCAGCCCTCAGGATCAATTGTACAAGTAGGTTCAGAGCTGATGGTGCAATGCAAATCTTCACATCGACCATTCTACATTGAGAGCCCATTCTTTGACGTCTTTGACCACCTACAGCTACAATGAATTCCATGTATGTTGGATTGCAGCATGCCATGGGGTGTTCTATTGAAACATATAATGAAACACATGGAAACACCTGTGCAGAACCTGACCCGGGTACCACCGGGTGGTTGCTGCTTTCTACTTGGTCACTACGGTCTCAGACCGTCCTAAGCTCGTCATCCTTCGTCCCGAGACGAGGTGGTGTGGTCCGCTCCTCAACCGTCTTCGACACCGTGGGACGCTGGATGGTTGACGCCGCCGATGGTTTCCACATGTTGTGTATATCAATCCGCAGGAAGATGGTGCTGGGATGGCCTGTGAAGGGTGTTTTTTTTGTTTTTTTTGGTGGGATATCGCATTCTTACGCAAGAAAGGGCATGGAGATGGAGGCAATATTTAGGCAATGACCAAACCATACCAAACCTATGTATATATATATACCAGGCATGACATGGCCTTTGCTTGCTCGTTATCCTTCAGGGAAATCAAATGCCTTGAGGACTTGAGGCCTTCGTTGCTTCGTGCCTCGTCGTGGGTGAACTGCGTGGAATGGCCTCCACCCTGATAGCGATGGCCTCCAACCTAGTAGCTTCTTGCTACTAGTAGCGATCAAAGACTTACTGAAAAGCTTCTTGTTACTACAGGTGAAACGATTCCCAAGATGATAGGATTTGATGTGAGATCGCAAGGGCACTTCGATCGCAACATCGCAAGGCCCAAGAATGCACCAGCGGAAGGGTGTTTGTGAACAGCCCACGGTTTACGCAAAGATGATAGAGATGGCAGTTACAACAGATGATGAACTAACAAGTTTCTTCGGATCAGATTGAGCAACACCTGCAAGAAGTTGAGAAGTGGAACATATATGTGTTCATGTGGTGAGGCAAACTCCAGCAACATCGCCCATGTTTCCTCAGGTTCGCATCCACAAACAACCCATTTTTCACACCGAGTTGGACTGCTGAGGTTCTGGCACATCACATGGGCCGTGAACTCCGCCGCTCGGTTCGATGAAGGAACTCCATACCGGTGGGACGACCGGGACAGGCCCCGCTCCACGTATCAAGAAGCTTTTCTTCCGCTTAGGGGCGGAAGCAGCCGAAGGACAGATATTCTGAAGTACTTTCGGTGCTCAGCAGGGTCAGGGGAAGTCCTTGTTTCCGGAAGTGGCTCTTTACAGGTAGCATCAGGCAGCAGATGGAACCTTCTTGTTATAGGATGACCCCTCCACTAAAAGTAATAATTGGAGGGGGGGGGTGACCCACGACTTAATCTTTATCATTTATTTTTTCTCCGACAATTTATCGACAATCTTAAGTCGGATACAACAAATCAATTGGCATCTTCCCTTGATTCCTGTGTACCTTGGATCAAGCTTTTGTCATGTCTACTTGAGAAATTATCAAGAGGTGGTGGAGAGGTCGCACACCCCTCAATTAATTATCACAGAGGGTCGGGGTGAGAGAGAGAGAGAGAGAGGAACCAAAGTAACTAAGGACGTCGATGCGGGTTTCAGAATATTCAGGGTCTAACTATGTCTAACTATTAGTTTTATGTCATGTCCTCATTTTGTATAAAGCGGTCCATGCCCTTATGGTGCCTGAATCTCAAAAGCATGTGTGTGTGTGTGTGCGCGTTTGGAGTGTAAGGGTTCCGGGGAGGTACCATGTGCACGGGGATGCCCGGTTTTCTTTGTGAGCGTGATGTAGGAGGCCTATAGCCGCCTCCTAGGTTTGGGTGTAGTCCCAATGACAGATTTTCTGAGAGGTGGGAAGCTGTAGGCTGGGGATTGTGAGAGGGGTAGGTTCCCTAACCTTGCCTTGCTTGGTACTAATTTGACCTCTCATGCCACAGTTGCAACTGCCCAAAAGCAGATATATTTAAATATATATATATATATTAATGGTTTTAAGCAAAAACATGCTAATGATGCAGCGGGCCGCGGGCAGCATAAGTCAAATGTTTGCGACCTCAAAACAATCAACACAACTACTAGGACGTAAGTTTTCATACGTTCTAGTAGATTTGGGGCGCCAAGTTGTCCTCCAGAAGGCCTCAAAAAACCAGGCAGGACAGTGCCACCACATGCAAGCCAAGCAGGAAGGCAGCCACAACATTCGAAACCATGCAATGAAAATTAATTCAGGGGGGGTTGGCCTCTGGAGGAGGGATCGATTGGTACCCCCCCCCTCAATGAATTATGAACAAGTTAGGTATGTGCACCCTCAATGAATTTTATATAAGTTTGTTAATTGAGGGGGGCCCCCCCCAGGGACCTATCTAACCTAGGGGTCATGTTATAGGGTCAGTGATGCTTTACTCCTTAGATTCGTTAGAGGAATGGTCAGGAAACTTTGCATGCTGGTGGTGTAAAAAGAGGCTTGGACTGTTTGATAAACTGGTAGGCCTCCAAGCTTCTTTGCAGGTAGTCCTGACTCAAAGTGGAGGAAGTAAAAAGGCTTCATGGAAAGGAATGAAGAAAGGTCAGCCTTGAAGGCTTTGCCAGTTTTTCCTGCCTCCTGAGGCAATTTAGTTTGCCAGCTTCGAGCTACTGAAGCATGTGGGTTTGACATGGAGCCTGACTAATTCAGCCTGGGTAACATGGCCCCATTCATGACATAGATCATAATCTAAAGAAAAGAAGTACGGGCTTCAGATAGTGACGAGCGCCGCGACTGAGGTAAGTCATGCTTGGCAGCCCGGCGGGGGCGATGGCAAGAGGGTAGAAGCATTCTATCATGCACATTGGTTGGCATGTCAGCGGTATCGATATTATATACACATGAAAAAAAGAATATATATATATATAGCAACAAATGCATATCATCACGCCTTTGGGAAACAAGGAAAAAAACATCCGCACGGCCGAACAGGAGGATGATGTCATTTCGTTTCTCTTGCAGTTAAGCTAACAAGGTAAAGCCACACGTCTGGAGCTGAGTGGTTCGTGTTCTCGATGGTCCAGAAGCCGAATTTGTTCGAATGGCTCATCAGGATGAGCCACCATCCATCATCCAGGGAACCTCGGGTTTATGAGGCCCGAGACGGTCGAACAAGCAAGTGAAGACATGTTCTGAATGAACGCCTGATGAATAGTCACGTCAAATGTCTGACATGTTTTTGGGTGTTGTTAATTTGGGGGCTCAACCATGAGGAGAGATCCCAAAGACTAAATCTGTTCATGAGAAGAGGCCCTTGTGCAAGGAAGGGAAGACAGTTTGGACCAAACTAATCAGGGTGGGTTGGTGTACCCACTTCTGGAAACATGGCGATTCGCTGGAAGGAAGGAGACCACATCTTTGACCATCCAATGTTCTGTGCCTCAAAGATGTGGTCCTTCGAAACCAGCTTGGCAAATGTTGTTTTTCTGGACTTTCCACTCCAAAACCTGCCAGCCCTGCAGGAACTAGCCAAAACTGCAGGCTTTCGCTCCAAAACGCCAAGACACCGTGTAGACCGCCGCGAACGCCTCAGGTGTGGGGCTTCCAGGACTGGAAGACAGGCACCCAAACCGACCGGTTGCGCTGGACTGTTCGGTGCCAAACATCAACTACTGATTCCAGCAGTCGTTCTTCTCGGTTTGGATAAACCGACAAACACGTGTTCGTGTGGGATGTTTTACAACATCGAATGCAATTGGGGATATGTCTTCGGACTCTTAAGGTTGGCAGAAAAGCTCCACTACAGACTGCTACAGTTGCTGGCAAACAAGCCGCTTAAGCCTTCTCTCTCTCTCTCTCACCAGGCGACCTCTCGATGAACAATTGGCTTGCACGGCCCCCAGCTGAGAGGAGTGTATGGGAACGGTGACCATCATTGTGGTTCCTGACCATCGACATGTTATTTTTCTCATTGGATTCCAATGTGGATGTGTTTGGTAAGCCTGGATGTGGAAGCGGATTGCCCGCCAGAAGCGGATTCGTCACATTTGTTGTTTAAAAGTTCCAGACCCAAATAGATGAGCATCCCCTCATAGAGGATTTTGGACAGGGATCTTCATTTGGGAGATGCCATGAATGAGGAGCTGTAGACTGTAGACTCATCACAGCGAAAGCCAGGACAGCGAAGGGGTCTATCGACCGCAAAGGATGGGTTTTCACATGTCATGTTATCACCAATAATTCATGCCATGGAGTTACAATGTATGCAAACAAAAAATTGAACATGTTTGCCTTTTCTGTGTTGGATTTACACTTGCTTGCCCGCAAAAAACAACTAGCAGTGTTGTACCCATGATCCCCTACTGCAGGTGAAGGTATATATGAGGATTTTACACCCAAAAGGCACATTAGGTGTGAGGTTGTGTGAAGTTGCATATGTTGCTTGTGACATGGCGACCCAATCGCACTATAGAGAGCTTGAAGCTTGCGATCTTGCAGTGTTTTTGCCAAAAAAACTACTGACTTGCTGTGACAATATGAGTTCCACATAGCTCCATGAGCACCCAAAAATGGGGCTCCATGATGTGTCCATCTCCTTTTTTCAATTTATACGGTTCTTCTTTGACATACCAGACTGGTCGGAAGCTGTGGGAAGCACACTGGACCTGCCTCAGTACCTGCCTCATAGCACACTGGACCGGTTCACATCCAAGTTGCCAGGTTGGGATTTTAGCCTTTGGCGAGGGATGGCACAACAATCATCATGCCTTTGCCGCTTGGAACGACGTTTTTTTTTTGTGCTGGGAGACTTTGAAAGAAACTTTGCCACCAAGTTGGAGGAGCAAATTTGGACACCACAGCCAAATTTGCCGTTATGTACATTTTAGTCCACCTGGCCAGAGGCGGTGCAGGAGGTTCGATAAAGCGATGAAGAAACAATGTCCGACATGCAAAAGATGTTGTTCATGTGGTTCCCCCATCTTCTGCCATTTGCCCTCCAAATGCAAGTTCCACCATTGCCCCGGTGCGAAGAGGCCGATTTTCACCAGGTTCGCCCTTTCTGCGGGAACATGGGCGGTGTTTCACATTACTGCAGATGGGAGTAGGTGGGAGCAGAGTACCATCGCAGATGAGAGCAGGTACCCGTTTTCATGTGCTTGTTGTTTGTCCGCTCCGTCAAGGTATCGCTCAACAACTGAGAGGATGTTAGCGCTTTTTGTGTCACAATTGTTGGCTTTGATTGACACATGCACACAAGATAGCACAAGTAACGAGCAAGATAAGCACCCATGAGGGTTCGATCCATCTTCATTTTGTCCCCTAAAGTTTTGTGTTTTCGTGTAGTAGGCATGTTCATTGGGTGACCCGGGACGAGGAACGATCTTGTCGACACGGACTGAAATGGTGGCAGGCGGGGGACGTTCCTGGATCGGACGTTTTGGAATGCTGAAATGGAGGCTCACAGCGGCGGAGCAATGACCTAAGTATCTTATCTAAATTGTAAAGGTTTGGATGATCTCAAGGTATAGATTCGTATAGATTCTATAGATGCTTCGAGGCCACCAACAGGCCAACAGTTCAAATTTGGATCGTGGAATCATACGAGGCAGTTGAAAGTATTTCCGCAGGTTTTTGGTTTGATGTTGTTTCCAAGTTTCGGCCGAACCAGCTTTAGCCCAACCACCATTTATATATGTTAATCTTGTTTGGACATCAACTGACTCTTGCAGCTGGCGGGCGTCATCCTGAATCCAAGACCACCTCAGATTTGTTCCAAGTTTCCCTTGGACAGACCACCTATTCTCAGCCCGTGCAACCAACCTCTAGTTTCGACGGGGATCTGTTCAAGGAGGTAGTGAGAAACTAGACGGCCTCATCAGTTTTCTCCATCAGGGCCATGTTTCTCGATCAGTTCAAGGTTGTGTTTTTGTCAACATGGATGGCCCCTCGGAGATGGTCAAAGGATTGTCAAAGGTAGTGCGGAAGACCATGAAAGACCCGACGAGACAAGACCAACCCTGCTCCGACTTCTCGGAATTGCGGCATGTTTTCCACGGTTTTCGCTACAGTTTTTTCATGCGAATCGCAGCCCAAAGAGTTGATAAATGATCTGTGTACTGAGGTCGGCGGTTGTCACAGAGCAAGTTTGTTGGAATTGTGATTATTCTGTACGGCGCTCCGAACATGGCCTTTGCGGCCTCCCAACAACATGGCCATTGCGGCCTGCATACCACGGCCTCCCAGGTGGACTTTACGTGGTACGCCATCCGCACTCTGGAAGTATCTTGCAAGAAGATGTCATGCGGACTGCGAACACGTGGCATTTCTTCATGTGGTATGTTTTTTCTGACAGGATAGTGCAGCTTGTTTCAGTCCCGAGATCAGATTGAGCCTTTTTGTGTACGCGCTCAAGACTGCGCGTGAGTCCTGCGGGTTTGATAGCAAGGGATTCTGACGACCAAATGATGCCTGAGATGGTTGGGACATGCTGGCGCTATTTGGTTGGGGATTTTGGAGACCAACTGACTGCCGAGTTTTCATACTGCCAGGTGTTTTTGTGTTGTTGATTGCTTTCCCTGATGCACGTTGGGCAATATTCACACTCCTCCATACTGTTTGATATCGATTTGGTTGAATGGATTTCCCTGAAAAGGGTTCTGCAGCTTCGGCTCCGGGTGATCAATCTCCTTTGAAGGTGGCATAAAAGATTGCAGAAGGATTGCGCACTGTGACTGACAGTGGTCAGTATATATATATATATGTAATATAGAGTGAGTCAGCTCGAAGGCTATATTCTGATCGATCTTCTTTTTCCTGAGGTGTTTGCGAAGAGTGTGTTTATCCCCTATCTAAACCCAGCCAAGCTCTACGATGGAAGGCTCGCTTTCCGTAACAGCCACTGGCACGCCTCACATGCTAAGGCATTGGGTTTGGCCTGGAATCTTCAGTCGCTTGGACTCAAACGACATCGAAGTGCCGGTTTGCATGTTGGAGTTGTTTAAGGAAGGTCAAAAGGTCCAAGGTTGGAGTTTTTGTATATATCATTTAAGCTTGAGAGGTTGAACCAATCTTTGTCCAGGTATCCTTCTCAAGGCCGCATGGAGAGATTGGCCATGTGAAGGGCTTCTCCCGAAGGCAGGAGAGAATCCAGGGCATCGGTCGGTGTTGGTTGCCACGAACTCCACGTTATTGATTAGTTTTGTTCTTTGCAAGAAATTTGGTCGTTACACATGGATCCCCCATTTACAAACGTCCAACTGAATGTCATGCAGTCCGGCAACCTGTACTAGGCGGTGTGACTCACCTCACGAAAGGGTTTGCCACTTTAGCCCCACCAAACATGAAGATGAGAAAGCTAGCACATAACCTTGATTGGCCCAAGGAAGCTGAGGAGTGTCCATGCAGACTTCTTGCGTCACGAAGAACGACTTGCAGAATGCCCCTCGTAGTCACAACTTGAGTTGAGGGTGTGGCTCGCTCAAACTCCGGTTTGGGACGCCGAGGATTTGGCCCTGCGGGGCCCTGTATAAACTATATATATATATTATAAGGCTATAATTGGCTTTGCAGCTTAAGAGTCATGGAACCCCTCATGGCCACTGAGTACATGGGAACTTTTGCACATCCCCTGCTGCCCCATGGCAGGATGCCACATGCCGTCGCAGTGAGGGCGCGGTGTGGCCAAGGTGCGATGCGTCGCATCGCCACGGAAGGTGTTCCATAGGAAGTCCCGTGGGTTCGTTTGAAGCCACCACTCCTCGCGTCCCGCGAAATCCCTCTTCCGGTGGCAAAGTCGACGCCTGGAAGTGACACCCATGTGCATGCGCATGCATATGTTTGGCCTAGCGTTTGGCTTTGGACGACTGGAAGAGGCCCACAAGCCTGGGGTACCCCAAACTATGCAAAAGCCATCGGAAGAATCTTCAGTCCCAAACGCAATATCTTCAGCAAGGTCTACCTCGTGTTGTTTCCATGTTTTCAGGGTGCTCGGCTGGCAAATTTTCTAGACTTCTAGACCACCTATAAGGTGGACTGGCAAGCGCTGTTCAGCCTCTCATGGGCGCAGAGCCTGCGCTCTTTGCGCCGAGCGCACTTTCCTGGATGTGAATCCATCTGCAGGAACTCATAAGATCTAAGCGTAGTGGGTGAGTAGGGAAGGTCATCCATTTTACAGTTCGACTATGTTCGACTTCTACTAGGTGAGTGTTCGATGTCACTTCTGTCTGGAAGAGGTTGGTGTTTTGAGGTTTCAGCTGATGGTTGCCGGAGCCCTCTCGTTCAAGCAGAAGTAAGCAAGGGTGTTCACACCTGAAAAGTTGGTGTCTCCAGAGCGTAGCAGTAGCATTGGTAAACAGCTCTTGGATATTGGACGTTCAGCAGGAAGTTCATTGTGGAGTTCTGTGGAGCTTCCATTGTGACCCGGTGCCCAGAGCCAGAAATGAACCAAACATAGCCCGGCCGGATGATCTTGGTTGTTGTTTTTTCTTATTTGTTGAGCAACAAGCGGCATGATGGTGCCAGGTTCATTCTGTTCAGCCGAGGCGTATTAGTGAGACCAGGAAGTGCAAATACATGCAAATCAGAGGCCCTAGCCTGTGATTCTGAGGCTGCTTGGTGCATTGAGTTCCACTGGTACGTACAAGTTTGTGATGGATCACGGTGCTGCCAGACTCATCGCTTTGAATGACAAGATGTCCAAATTCAACTGAAGGATACTATTTATTGGGTGAAACTAGATGGGACGAGGGTGCCTTCACAATCTTTTGCAACCCTTTCTTTTTGTTTCGATAACTGGTAGGAGTCCAGCAGATGTTGCATCAAGACTACTTGCCCGGTCCCTCAAAACTACTCGAGGCAAGTCACACAGCCTCAGAATCATAGCAGGAAGGCTGTAGCCGAGGTGAGTGCCATGGGTCAGAGTGCTTCTTCTTCTTTGTGTGGAAGGAGGGCTCCTTGTGAGAACTGCTTGTTCCCTACAGATTGGTCGTAATGCTTTTTCACTATGAGCTCTGGAAGCCTATTTTGAGACACATCAGTTAGGACCACGAAATCCAGAACTCTAAATGACAAGTCACGGGTTTGTCATCCAAATCTTCGCCTGTGCTAGACCCAAAGTGCACTCATGTCTTGCCCACTCTATCTCCACAACGCTTCTACGCAGCGTTTGAGAAAAGCCGAGAAGTGGCTTGCTTGTGCGCATGTACCATCAACGTAAGGCTGGGACGAACGCATGGACCAAACCTTCGACTATCAGGCATTTCCCTAGCCTTCAAAGACCAAAAGACAGGTTGACCTGGCTTTGATAGTCTAACATCGTTAGTAAAACAATGGTTGACCTGCAAAGACTGACCATTGCATCAAACTGTGGTTGGTATCCTAGGCTTTCTTTTTACCACGTGCTCCTTCGAAACACGGAAACAGCCAGTGCATTCGGGATTGATCGGGATTGGGAAACATAGGTTTCGACGTTCAAGAATGTGGCTGTGGGTCAACACCCGGAGACCGTTTCACCCTGGTACTGGTAGGTTGACCTCGCTCCTTAGTAGTCCATGGTTCATTTTCCGTGGTCAACCAGGTAACCAGGGTCACCCGGTTTTGACCCACAGCCATGTGACACTCGGAGGAAAAGAAGAATCAGACCATCAAGACCCTGATATCGATCATTTGCTCATGCGCTGCTAATTCACTGCGCCGTGAATTCAGCAGAGTTCAACCTGCACAGACTCATTAAACATTACTATTGTGATCTATTGTGTGGGTGAATTTTAGCTTCCTCAATTTCGGGTCGTGTTTTGGAGGTCCAGTGGTCACCCTGGTTCACTTCTTTGACTGCATGGGAGTGGCCCGATCCCTTGCTACTGAACCATACTAAACCCCCCAAAAGATCCCAAAAGAATAACAGACTAGAGGAACACACCGGTTCATCTCGTTTTGTGCTTTTTGGAGTCAATGAAGTTCTTGTGGACTTTCCATCGAACAACCAAGCAGGTCGAGCAGCACGAGTCTGTCGAGCAAGCTTTGGCAGCTTTCGATTTGGATTGACTAAGGTGAAGCTCAGCGAGCAGTGGAACTTGAACTACTACAAGTACGTCCAGGACCACGGAGAGGAGGCATGGAGACTTCGTCTGAGAGTGGCCGTGGAACGAAGGTGGGGTCAAGACGGATTTGTGAAACAGTGCGGTTCATGTGGGAAGCTTGTGGAAAGATTCTTTTTGACACGCTTTCCACAAGCTTCCCACATCCAAGGTTGGCTAAATGATGTTAAATGCACCAGAGTCTTATGCCTGGACCAGGGGGCATTCCCGGTGTTTCCAAGTCAGCAAACCTCCGGGGGGGCTAGCCTTTTCCAAAGTCGGACCAGAAGAGAATCGGACTATCATGAAGGACCACACCAAGCTGGCCAAGCTCAGTGGCTCACTTCCGGTCGCGAAATGGTATCAAACATTCGTGTTGGACAGACACCAAGGGTAATTGTTGGGTCGGCCGAGTACAGGAGCTTTTCAGAGTTGTTCTTTGCCCAGAGGAGCTTTGCACCGGGTTCGATGCCTTGCACCAGGGAAGGCTGATGGGCACACCTGCCAATCTAAGAATCTAATATTTACAGATGGGCAGGTGCCTTGCGGAAAGCGCATTTGTTGGACCGAGTTGGCTTAAAAAATGCGGACAGGTTCTTTGCCTAATGCTTCTCAAACACATGCCGGGGGGTCCGGCCCCTCGCCCTGTTCGTCTCGCCAAGTCGGGGCGACACACGAAACCCCGGACGGCTCCACACGGATTGATCCACTTGTTACTAGTAGCTTCTTGTTACTACTAGTAAGGCACTTGTTACTAGAAGCGATGCACTTGTTACCAGAAGCTTATTGTTTCTAATAGCTTCTTGTTACTACTAGTAAGGCACCTGTTCCTACTAGCGTGGCACTTGTTCCTAGTAGCTTCCTATCCCAGCTATTGGGACAGTTTTTGTGCCAGGCCTACGAGGTAAATTGCATGAAGGGCGGCCGAGGTTTCTATTTCTTGCGTGGTGGCTAAGACAAATACAGGCAATTGGCTGGTCGAGAATGTGTGATTCTTGTAGGCACACAGAGAACAGAGGTTTGCTGGAGGTGGTTCAGAGGGTTCGCCAACGCTTACCGATGAACACCTGGCAGTGGAGTGTTGGGCTTTCTCGCAGGTTGTCCAGTTTAGGCCACAGAATCCCGTTTCGCGGGCATCGATGAAGCTCTAGACAAATGAAGCTCGGGTGTTCTGTGCAGATGAGTCTGCCCAGGTCGTTGAGAAGTGTGTGTCAGGAGTCCCAGGCCCTTCATCTCGTTTGTTTGACAGTGGTGTTTCTATCGAACTCACGCCCTCAGACATGAGACTTGTGCGAGTCAGGTCAAATCCTGACATGGACTTGTAGGGTAAGTCATTCAGCCGCTTTCCGCAGCTTCGAGGGCCACGACATGATATTGTTGGAAACGCACGGCATGGTAAGTGATCATTGCCATGCCCTGAGCCAACACCCTTGGACTTTTGCATCCGCAGTCATTGCACAGTTGTGTTGAAAAAGATGGAGCTCAGGCTGCCATGCAGTAAGCAAACATGGAAACTGCCACAGGTGAGGAGATGACTACACCCTGGACCCTTGACTCACATTCGCTTTTCCCATGAGCCGTTCGACAGCTGCGCCATGGCGAGTCTCGCCGGCCTTATGCGTTTCGCTGCGATCAGGAGAGCAGTGCATGGCTGTTGTTCACGCCTTCAAAGCACTGGGCGTGGAAGAGATCAAGATCACTCTTCTACCTATACATCCCAGATCACTCTTCTACCCACCCAAAACAGATCAAAACAGAACGTGGAGACGCCAAAACAGATCAAAGCAGGAGACCCGCTTCATCGAGGAAGGGTCCTCCTCAGGTGTGGCGGGAGAACTTGCTCCAGAACGCCTCGACGCGTGGATGTTTGGGAAATTTCGCCGCGGGAGATGCGAAGCTGAATTTCTTTCAGAATATTTCAGGTCGGAGGGAAAATGTAGAAGACATCCTGCGGTGGAAGTGCAGCTAGTAGAGCTTTGCTTTTTTTTTGGGGGGTATCTTCTTGCCAAATGAATAACTCCATCCCATGGATTGAAAGCAAGTTTTCAGGCTGTTTTGGTTGGGGTGCCAGGTGGTTTGGCGCAGCTTCGCGACATTGTCCATCAAGGACTGTTTCTGAGAGGCATCGAAGTTCCAAGAAGACTTTGGGAGGAAGAGATCCCAACCTGACCTGCCCTTTGGCATCCTTTGCAAATTTGGAATCAACAGGTTTTGGATTTGGACGTCTGACCGCAAAAGGTCCTGGTATGTGGGATGGCATCATGGCATCCATATGTATACATGTTCCAGTGTTCAACGGGCGAGTCCGGGGCATTTCATCCAGAAAGGTTGCTATTCCAGCAGATGTTCATGTCCAAAATGAAACAAATCAAGCAACATGTGTCGTCTCCACCGTGCTGACTGTGGATGTTCCGCCTGACTGTGCCACTGAAGACTGTGATTTGGAGCTGCGATTGGAGGAGCTGCGGGACTTGGGCGTGGACACGGCTCAGCGAGGACGAACAGCCGGACCTCATGCGTCAGAGGTGCGGTGAGTCGGGTTCGACGCGGGACGAACAGGGACCCCAAAAAAGCGGAACGAAAGGGAGAGGATTTATGAAGTCATTGCAAATCAACAGAGGCCTGCAATGACCTGCATCACTTATTGTCAGAAATGACTGCAATTGCAAACCAAGAGAAATCACATCACAGATGATTGCATTGCCAGGTGCTACACTTCCTACGTCACGCAGGGCTGACGCAGCAGG